CCCCCCCTCCGTAAGCCTCACTTTATTGTGTCCATTGTCTCAGCCCCGCGGCAAAGAAAACCGTGCGAGTTATGTCCTGGTCTGACATGCTCCGTGGGTGACCCACGACACCACTGCCGGGAACATGTCATGCATGTCGTGGGTTTATGCCCGGTGCCTATTGTCCTTCGGATCGGATCGAATCGGATCGGATTGGATCGGGTCGGGTCGGGTCGGGTCGGACTGGGAGGGGGCGATCATGGTGGCTTCTACTACGGGGTGTCCACTACGGAGTGTCCACTACGGATGGGATCGGCCGATCGTACTCGAACGCCTCAAAAACAAACGTGTTTGTTTTCAGTTTCAGGCGATCGAGTCGGCGATCGGCCCAATCCAGCCGTAGTGGGCACCCCGTATACCCAGTGCCCATTGTTACGATCGGTCCGGTTCGGTTCGGTTTGTAGGCGTGGCTAAAATAGCCAGATTGACGGCGAAAAGCGACCATCGCAGCACAAACCGAACGAAGTCGACGGTGACCTTAAAAAACAAACGCGTTTGTTTTCAAGGCCGCGAGTCGGGCTATCAGTTTGTGGTAGAGAACTGATCCCCCGGTGGGCAATGGGTATTCAGTACACACCACGAATAGACCCCTCCCATGTTGTGTCAAAGTTGACAACCATTAAAAAAACCCAAAAAGAACCAACGGGTGCGTGGTGTTACTGTGCATAAAACTGATCGTTCACGACACAGTCGTTTCCTCCTTTTTTGTGCTGGGTAGGTGTTTTACGGCGCTCGCAACTGCATAAGGTCATATGAGAGTGTGGGACACACCAAACATTTTCAATTGGTAGGAAATTTTGAATTTTGCCCTGGTGGCGGCCTAAGCCTACTCTTCTCAATTTTGAACGACCAAGAGATCTTTAATTGCGCACTGGACTTCCGAAATGGTTCGCCCTTGTCCGAGAAGGCTACGTATAGATCTTTCCTACCAGAAGATCAGGGATGTGGCTGAAAGACAGCAGTAAGAAGGAGCCAAGGAGTAGCAGTAGAATAGAAAGGCTGCAGAAAGAGCAAGGACCCCAGTGGAAGGGGCATAGGAGGTGAGGGGGAGAGGGCAGAAAGTGGAGACGAAAGCAGACATCAGAACATAGAAACAAGAGAGAAGGAAAGAATGTAAAAAGGAGACAATTTTAGAGAAAAATTTTTTCCGTCGCTACACGGATTCGAACCTGGGACCTTTGAATGAGAGGCGAACATCTTATATTTATAATATCTAGGCCACTAGAGCCCCCTTCCATAAAGGCTGCCCACGCCGACTGCCATATATCGCGGTTGCTGTGTTGAGACCTCTTGAATCCTACAGACATAGAAAATGTTGATGGCTTTCTAAATCTATCAGTATCTGTATCTCTAAACCTACAGTGTCCATTGCCGCATTCCGCACGCTCGCTGAACACATGTGATCATTCGACTATCGACCTTTAAAAACAAACCAAGGTCAAGATCGAATTCAGTCGAAATTCTTTCAAATTGTGCAGCGATAGTCCATTTTGCCTCTCCACGGAGGAATATCTGGCTAGCCCATACACATTTCTAACGAATTCGATCCGATTCGATTGGTTATGTGCACGAGAATAAGACATGCCTTGAGACGTGCTTACCTAATCTCTGCTCGTGAAAATTAAACCATAATACGTTTTTGTTGGCGCTTAATGTTTCAATCAACATTTCAAGGGTTCTCTGACGGGTTTCGAGTTTCGAGTTTCGAGTCTGGAGTAACCCGACACTGTAGAGGCCTTTGATCAAGTCAGCACAATCAGCCTAGTTGGGTTTGGCTTGGTTTTTTGGGGTTCTTTTTCGGTTCAGGGAGAAAATTAAAAAAATTGGCTTCTCGGATGACTTTCGTAGACCGTAACAGGACCCCACCACAGGAGTATGTCTCATTCAGAACCCCACCC